TCAACTCTCAATCACCACTTGATTTCCTACAGTAAAGCTATAAAGTTTGATATTTAATATTACGTTTCATATAATGCATCAATCTGAGAAATATTGACGTAAAACAGCTTCGTCCGTCAATTCACGTGAATTTCTCGTCGAGTTGGCTTTACAATCTTCATCTCATCAAATGTGGAAATATTTCTACTGAAAAACTTCGGAGTGCAAAGGGTTAATAAATATTTGAATACCAACGAGCAATGTTTCACAAGTCACACGACGTTAAGAGATTCGTTCGAGTTCGTTGGAACGGATTCGATTGTAGCGTCGCGTACGAGAAAATGGTTTTCTCCGTTGCGCTCGTCGCTCGCCAAAGCGATCTTCTAATCTTCGCGCCGCCTGAATGGAAAGCGAAGCGAAAAGAGCCTCCGCGTTTAACGCGTCGAACGTGCACACCCCGCGCGTTTAACCCTTTACCCTCGCGCGGCCGCCCCCGATTCGGGTAATCGATAGGCCCCCGCGATCAATCGCGGGCGAGCAACAAAATATTTACTCCCCGGCTGCGAAAACTAGTAGCGGAACGGCGCGAGGACGCGGACGTCGTCGGTCAATAACGCGTTTTATCTCGTATCGCCGGGAATTCTGGCGAGGTCGTCGAATGTTTACCGAGCGATTCGAGAGCGAGGTAATCCTTCCAGAACGAACGCCGTTATTCAGGCGACATCGAACTTTCGCGGAACGGAAAGTTTCGAATCATTGAATTACTCGAACAGCGAGTTAACCATTTGCGCTCCGAAGTTTTTCAATGGAAATGTTTCAACATTTTCTGATGAGACGAAGACAGAGATATTTTACGTCAATATTTCTCAGATTGATGCATTATATGAAGTATAATATTGAATATCAAACTTTATAGCTTTACTGTAGGAAATCAAGTGGTGACTGAGAGTCACCTTCCGAGTGCAAAGGGTTAACCCGGAAGAAGATTCTTCGGAATATACAAAATATTGCAGATGGAGCTAAATTATATATCAACTACTTAACACTAGAACTACGTACCAGTCAAATTGACTGGTTTCGATTTTTTTTAGCAATTATTGATATCTTCGGAGCATTGAATATTCGAAAAATAGTTTCACTAGAGTACTATAATGAATGTGAGGAAACTAAAAATAATATATTGTTACAATTTTTATAGGAATTGTATATTAATCGTATTAAATGCTCGGTAGTTCTAGTGTTAAATGATAGGGAAAACAGAAACTACGTGCTGATCTCTTGGTGTTTGAGTAATTAAATTATTTCTTTATTACTTAATCTTCGAAACATGAAAATTCGAGTTCTAGAACATTAACACATTACAGATCGGTAACGAGAAATCTCGTTTTTATATAAAGACGCTTAGCTATAACTTCGCTAATCACCACAGCATTGGAAAACGTAAAATTTGATTCGAATTGATTATCTATTTAAAATACATTACACAACAATATGATATCTGAGTGTTTCTATGTATAGCGATATAAGTTGACCTCGTTGAAAATTGCCATCCGCACGATTCAGTTTTCTGAAAATTAGCCACGCAATGTTAACGAAGCGTTTCAAGCTTACTTACCGAAAAATACTGTAGCGTGGAGAACAAGTGGAAAGAAATTCGCAGAACCTATCACAATACTCGTTATCTGTGAATATTACAAGAATAGTGGTGGAAATAATAAAATATTTTCCATATGCTGTATTGGATCTAATAAAAGCGCCATGCCTATACATGGCTCCGTCAGGGGTTAATAAAACGCAGGATCGAGATATTCACCGTTTAGTGCACTATTTAAATTGAAGATAAAACATCGATAGTAAAATATCTCACTTGTTCCTAGTTGCAACGGAACAACATTGATTTTTACCAGACTAGAAACCAACACCTACGTCTCGTGACAATACACGACAAAGGGTTAACATTAATTTGAAATCTATTAACTCCTAATCGCAAAGGTACGGTCGTCCTTTGAACCCTTTACAGACGAATGTCGGCATTTCGCCGAGATCAAACTTCCATCTGTGGAAGACGCAGTTGTGAACAAATGATTTAACTGCTTGAACAGCAAGAAATCAGTACTAAGGAACTCTGGGATGAGAAACGCGCAGTGTTTCGAAAATATATGCGACGACCTGCAGCGAGATTGTTTCTTGTCTGATAGAGAATATCAGAAAGTGGGAATTCATCTAAATTATTTACTTTCGCTGTTAACCCCTTGTCCTACAACGACCGAGTGGTGAGGATTTTCAGCATGATTCAAAATAAATATATTAGTTCATTCAACAGCAAGAAATCAGTACACAGTTCCCTTCTATGATTTAAGCATTCGATGTTTAATTTAGCAGAATTTGCAAAAGGTTCTTACTTTCAACGATCTTCGTCCGCAAAGGGTTAAGCGTAGAGACCAAGCTCGATAACATCGGCAGACTCGATTTTCGCTGGCGAGATACGATTAGCCAATTTCCGTTACATCAGCCTTTATTTCCGAGCCGGTCACCGAGTACGTACGAAACCGTGAGTCGAGTGGGGCGCGGCAAGGTGCGAACGGTGCCAGCTGTCGTCTTATCAAAAAACTGGAAAAAAATTGTTCAAACAGTGCGCGTAATCGATAGCGATCGTGAATGCATCGATTCGGGTGGAGTCAGGTAACCGGCGTACCGTCCGCGTAACACGCGTGCGTTCATGGGAGCGCGAACTTCGCCGAGGAACGAATTTTCGTTGACAAATCGACACGCTGATTATTGCCAGAATTATTGCCGGAACTTGTAGAAAGTCAAATGGCAGTAGAATCAATTAGTAATGATTTAATATCATAGATTTTGGATTAGAATATTATGTATTATTACTTATGTAACCCTTTGACTACTGTTGGCTCCTGAAGCTCGGGAAATTCAGAAATCTTGCGCCCGTATTACTGTAGGCGCTTAAGAATCTCGTTTCATCAGATTATTAGATATATCGTGGAAACATCAACGTCGACGTGAAATTTGTAGTAGTACACTAAGAATTCAATTCAGAATACAAAGACATAAATAATAATGTTTTAACACATCGCGTGGCTAATTTTCAGAAAACTGAATCGTGCGGATGGCAATTTTCACCGAGGTCAACTTATATCGCTATACATAGAAACACTCAGATATCATATTGTTGTATAATGTATTTTAAATAGATAATCAATTCGAATTAAATTTTATATTCTTTCAACACTGTGGTGATTAGCGAAGTTATAGCTAAGTGTCTATATAAAAACGAGATTTCTCGTTAGCGATACGCAATGTGTTAAGGGTTACTTATAAATCTATCTTAGCGAAACAGGAATTAACCAGAAGTGTACGATTTAAACAGATTCAGTAATAATAAACGAAATACACAATTTCAGGTTGCGACACTTTCCAAATACGATCATTTAACGAAGTCCCTCAAGGTCTTGCGACCGTTCGAAGCGTCATTGTCCCAGGCATCGGAATCCAACAGGAAAAAACAGGGAACAAAGGGAAGGGGAAAGCCAAAAAAAACTGAATTGGCCGTTTAGCGAGAAACAAAAACCCGTTGGCAATCCTTTTTCGCCGGGGCCAGGCGACTTCGAATTCGATCCACGAGTCCTGCCCCTCTTCCGATCGCCGGGGCCCTTCTTTCTCCCCCTGAGCCCGGTTCCACGGCCGCTGCCTCTTGTTCACCCCACGTTTCGTCGACTGCCTGGGACTGTGAAGTGTCCGGACACGTGTGCGCGCGGCGTGGGTCCGGTGCGCCGCGAAATCCGAGCGGGAGGGCCGGCCGACGCATCCCCGCGCGCGCACGCGGCTGCTGCGAGGGTGGCGAGGGCAAACGCCACGGAAATGCGTTTTCACGCGAATTCGACCTTTTGACTGTTTGCACTCGAAAGTTCATTAGAAATGTTCAACGGTTGCAGAGGCAGATGAGTTTCTTTGGCAGCCAATGTGGAAACGCGTGAATTAACCCAAGAATCGTTGATTGACATTAACGCCTTTCCTACTGTAACTATGTAGTTAACTCTGCACTCGGATGTTTCTTACTAGAAATATTTAACATTTTTTGACAAGGCGAAGACGATATTCTTTGAGACAAACTTTTGTAACTTTTGTAATATTGGAAGAAAAATTTGTTCCAATATTTCATGTATCGGGTCATTGTACACGGTTAACCCTTTGAACTCTATAGGCCTGAATATTGCAACAGGAATAATATTCGATATTTTAATGAATCTTAAAGAAACCACCCTAAAATTATTCGATTTTTCTCACATCCAAGTTTTGTACTAACTAGGAAAATAAAAGATCGAAGAAATGTAGCATTTCTAATCTTCGCTAAGAATACTATGAAAATTAGTTGCAGTTGCTGGTACATTACAAAACAACCATGCCTAGAATTTTTCTCAAGAAATTATTAACCCTTTGCACTCGGCAGTTTTCCACTAGAAATATTTTAACATTTGACGACGAGATAAAGACTATTAGATTTTAAGATAACGTCGAGGAACAAAGCTATTTTATTTCAATACTCCTCAAATTGATGCATTATACGTAATATTAAATATCAAATTTCATAGTTTTACTGTTTGAAATCAGGCGGTAACTGAGAGTCACCTCTCGAGTGCAAAGGGTTGATACAGTTCAATTCAGTTTCGACGGTTTCCACACACTTTCTCAGAAATACCATTAAAATTCTGCCGTAATTATCAACGTTAACCGAAGATAATTACCAGAGACAATGGGACTACAATCCTCTAGAATCCGTTACAATCTCCATCGCAACTGTTGCACAGTCAAAATTCTCGTTTGATCGCACAGAGCTAACACGCTGATCATTAACCTGTCCAATCCAAAAGTTTCGATTATCGAGCATAAAATCGTGGAAAAGGTCGAAAAATCGGAGTGAACCGATTGCGCCAATGAGCGGCTGATACGGTGCGTACGCGGTGGATTTCGAGGATCGATCCGGCCGGTCGACGACGCACACCGCGGGACACGGTGGCGACAGTTCAGTCGTTTCGAGGCTGCCGAGCTGACCGGGTGTGTCGTCGAGCGTCGCAGAGCCGCGCCGGTGTACCGTCTCTCCCTCTCTTCTTCTCCTTCTCCTCCCTGTTTCTTTCCACGAGGTAGTGGAGCCTGTTCGACGTCGTCCGACGACGCTCTTGTTCGCCAGTCCGCCGCGAAACCCGTCGCGCGCCATCCCTCATCGACGCTCGCCGCGAATATTCGGTGTTGTTCGAGCAACGGACGCTGAGAGGAACGCTGAGAAAGGATCATGAAGGGTGCTGCGATCGCCGTCCTCTTCCTGGCAGTGATCCGTAAGTTCCACGTCGGTCTACCCGCCCGAGCATCCCTCGGGATCCCGCGCGAAGCGCGAACGAGCAACCCCTAACAGCCGCTTCGGCTCGATGTGTCGCGAATTGACGCAACTGTTCCACGTCGGAACGACGACGCGACCGTGTCGGCCCGTATCTCTCGATCCTCTAACGATCCAGCCTCCCGAACGGAGCGGCGCGCTGCCTTTCTCTCGCGATTGCCCGTTTCGTATCGATTAGATCCGGAGAGAGCGGACGTTTCTCGATCGTCGCGCGTCGCGAACGGGTTCTCTCGCGATCGACTCGCGTTACGCAACGGAATCGGTTTTATTCGCGAACGATCGAACGTCGTTTCGACAATGAAACTACGATGAGTCGGGTTACTGGAAGTTTCTTCGTGGAAACTAAGAGAGTGTCTGTTCAGGCTTCATTGATGTACTATTCAGGTTGCTTTCGCTAAATTTCCTTAATCGCGAGAAACATCTGTTGTCTTCGGAGCAATTGTAAGAATGGATCGAGACGTTTTCAATTGTAGTAGTGTTAACACATTACTGGTAACACATTGCGCATTACTGGTAACGAGGAATCGTTTCGTGCGAAGACACTTAGCTAACCACATTTAAGAAAAATTTCATTAGAATTGATTACCTATTTAAAGTATATTACACAACAATATGAGTTTTTCTATGTATAGCGATATAAGTTGACCTCGGTGAAAATTGCCATCCGCATGATTGTTTTCTGAGAATTAGCCACTCAATGTGTTAAGACAGTATTATTTATTTCTTTGTATTCTGCGTTGAATTCTTACTGTACTACTACAAATTTCACGTTGACGTTGTATCCACGATATATCTAATAATCCGATGAAACAAGATTTTCAAGCGCCTACAGTAACGGGCGCAAGATTTCTGAATTTCCCGAGCTTGAACAACGTATGAATTTTCCTATATATTGATCTCACCGGGAATCATCCAATTCAGTTCTCCAAAGATCGTACGCAATATGCAAGCCAATATATTCACGGTTCGATTAGACCGAAGAAGCGCTTCGTAGAAGCCCGTGATACGGAAAACGCAAAATCCATACGCGTCACGTGTCCTTGCCCGAGTCCCTCTCGAAGCGCGCGGTCGAAGGAGAACCAACGAAATTAGCAAATTGATTTTCAAAGAAGGACGGAGACGCGTTTGCCCGCCGCTCCGTCAAAGACCGCTCTCTCGCGGGAGGCGAGGATTCATTTCGAAATGCAAACGCGGCGTTACGCGGGGCGTAACCCGGCCGCTCGTGCCTGACCCGCCACCACTCGAGCCGTTCCTCTGTATTTTTTTCCCCGGCGCCCCCACCTTCCGCCTTTTCTTTTGTCCGTTTTCGCGTTTCCCGCCTCTCGCCGTTTTCCAGCTGTTCCCGGCGAGCGGCGCCGCGCGAACGCGCGGAACGCTCGCAAAAATAGATTAACGCCGCGACCGCGAGCGGGGATGTGCAACTAACGCGGCGCGCGAAAATACTGCGAAAATAAACCGATCTCGCCCGATGGAAAATAGCACGTCGATCGCGCCGCGTGGAAAATGCCCGGCGCGCGAGCCCGCTCGTTACGGGGATCCTTCGGCTCGCGCGAGAGCTTTCGAGTTTGAACTTCAAACGGACGCTGCTCGTTATTCTCGACGCGTTCGACCGCTTCGATGCTGAACGACTTTCGCGGATATTTATCAAAAATGCGGAAGCTATTGGGTGTGTGTGCGAACGAAATTAATAAGAGGGTTTATCTAACGAGATCACGAGTATTGTGTTATTACAGAGAAATATGAAAAATAACATTCATTCGAATAAATTTACTTTGATTTATCTCTTGAGGAATGTAGTAAGAAAATTATAATTGATACTGATAAACAGAAGCGCCTCCGCAATTTTGGCGCAACAAAGAGCGCTATAGCGCTCCTCAGCACTCAAACGGTTAACACTAGAACTACCATGCCGAAAGCACCACCATCTCGAAAGCATTGAACATTCGAAATAATATTGAAAACAGATGTTTTCATTTAACCCATTGTGTAATTTGTATATCACAAGAAAAGAGGAAATGGCTGTATAGGTTTTTGATTTTTCATACGTTTTGAACTTTTTTTCGATACAATTGAAACAATTATGGCGGTGAGAATGAATTTTCCACGCAAGTGGGTTAAATACTATAATAAATGACTGCAGAAACTGAAGATAATTTATTAGTACAGTTTTTGTAGGGATTATATATGAATCAATCATATTATATATGCTCAAGAACGAAAAAATCGGTGTTGACACGGTGATTTATGATTTATGAACTATGGTCGATTTGATTATTTTGTTATTAACAGTTTATTGAAAATAAGAGAAAGTCTATGGTGTGTAAGATATAATCATTGATAACAGAAATAACATGTAGTTTGTATTCGAACGAATTGAAGAATATTTATGTTTGTTTATTTCTATTCGGAATTTTCGAGTCTACACGATATCGTAGCACAGGGGTTAACACGGTGACCTCTATGGCGACCGGAGATTCCAGGTTGCTTGGAAACAATTAGACTGTCGGAAGTGTTTGTATAAGTAGCTACAATTGTAGAACTTGAGAGCTATGGTACTGAATCTTTAACATTAGATTTATGGACGTTCATTCTATTGGCTCTAGGAAACTTTAAATAGATTGTAGATAAGAAATTGTATTGCAACGCGTATTCGCATAATTGCAATGGACATCAAGTGAAACTTATTAAGGTAGGTCTAAGAGATTCAGCATCCGTCGAATTGTCGGATTAAGTGAATCTAATGTTAACCCTTTGCACTCGGAAGCTTTCCACTAGAAACATTCGACACTTTCCCATGAAACTTAGATAACATTTGAAACGAACTGATGAGAAAATATACGTACATTAAAAAACAAAGCTATTTCATAGAAATATCTCGCATGTCGATGCATTATACGAAACTTAACCCTTTGCAGACGAAGATTCTTTGAAATGTACCAAACCTTCAACAGACGAAGCTAAATTACATATAAATTGTATAGCTGATAGAACAAAACGAAACTGCGTGCTGATCTCTTGCTGTTCGAGTAATTAAATTATTTTTCTGTGACTTAGTCTTCGAAATATGAAAATTTCATCCGAAATGTCGACATTCGTCCGCAAAGGGTTAATATTATATACAACACTTCATAATTTTATTATATCGAATCAAACGGTGACTAAGAGTCACCTCTGAGTGCAAAGGGTTAATAATTGAATTTGTAGAATAAATAGTGTAAAGATTCTCATGACGTCGACGCGTTACGCACGTCGGAATGTTTGGAAGGGAACGAAGAGGCCGAACTGTTGAGCGTCGAACGCTGCGATGGTCACCGGTGACCCCGAACCGAATCGAATTACTCGATTAAACGATGATTATTCGGCTACATTTGCGTGTTACAAATAATGCTATCGAACGCGGTGACATTCGACGTGACGAACGTCCAATAACAGCGCGATTCGGTCGAACAATCGAATATCGCCTTTCGTTCTCTCTGTCTCCGTGAAATAGTGAAAATATCGTAATAATTCATTCGAATTTAATATCCAAGTTCAACGGTCGCGCGCTTTTAACGAGTTCCCGCAATCTTACGCTGGAAAAAAAACCGCTCGAGCGGCTTCGAGAGCCGGGGAGTAGAGGTTAATTAGCGAGCGAGGTGAAAAAGGTAGTTCCTTCGATTAGACGGCGAGCGTTTCGACGAGAAATCGGTCAGATACGATCGTACAGAGGTTTTAAGGACGAGTATCCGACGTCTGCGTAACAGCGACACGCACAGACGGGAGCGACCGAGGACTCGACGCGAGTAATTAGCGGGGAAAAATTAATCATCGCCTGACCAAGCCCATTAGGACGTATTAATAATACTAATTAACCTAATCGGCCGGGCCCGCGGATCGATGGCTCGCGTCGGGTTTTCTATTTAACGGCGATAAACACCGGCCTGCCCGTTAGCGGGCTAATTATCGGGTCGTCGTCATTTATAAACAGACCTCGGCGTACCCGTTCGCTTGACCAACACTCGTTCGTCGTAAATATTATTGTCGAGCTCTCGTCGAACGCCGGGCGAAACTTCGCCCGGTATCCGCGCGTACGAGCGTGCCGCGGCCGCGATATTTCATCGCGGAAAAACAGATAATCGCGGATCGCATAAATCAGGAACGGCGGAAGACGGATCTCTTCTTCCCGGGCCACCTTTATCGAGGCTGCCTCGATAAATTCCGTTTCGGCCCGGAGAATGTTCGACGGTAAAAACGGAGCGGATAGGAAATGACCGTGTTCATTTTTATATTCCCGCCAGTCGACTGCTTTCGCTCCGTTAGCCTTGGAACATTGTTAGCACTGGATTACCTAATCGAATTCTTATGTTTGTGGAGGTTTATTTGGAATTTTTATAATATTCCTTGTTTGTCTGAGAATTAACCCTTTGCACGAAGGTTCTTTGAAATGTACGAAACCGATAGGTGAAGTTAAATTGTATGTCGATTGCTTAATCGGAAAGTGGGAAACTACGTGATCTCTTGTTGGTTCAATAATTAACCCTTTGCGGACGGATGTTGATATTTTAGCGAGATGAAACGTTCATATTTGGAGTATTAAGATGGAAACGAGTGATTTGATTAGTTGAATAGCAAGAGATCAGTATATAGTTTCCTTTCTTTTCTATTGTTGGAGCACTCGATGTACAATTTAGCATCATATGTTGTTAGATTTGTGTACTTTAAAGAGTCTTCGTCCGCAGAGGGTTAAATCATTTGTCCACGACTTAGTTTTCCAAATATGGACCTTTCATCTCGCCGGAATGCCGAGATTCTTTGAAATGTAGAAAACCTTCAACAGATGAAGCTGAATTGTATATTAATCGCTTAAATAATAGCAAAGGCGTTATACAGAATTCAACATTAAATATCTTATTTTATAGTTTCACTGTGTCAAATCAAGTGGTGATTGAGAATCACCTCTCG